TAGTCCAAAATCCGTTTCATGATGTCATATATTAATAAAGTTTTTTTTATTTTTGTATTGAGCAGCGGCTCCATCACTGAAGTAAAACATTTTCTTAAACTGTTTTTGAATCATATTCATAAGTCGAAATTTTTTTCAAAATAGAAGCATCTAGTTATTTGGAAAGAAATCAAAAATTGAGTTGATTTTAGCTGTAAAAGAACGACTTGCACATGCACTAAACATAAAAATAACAAAACAAGTGGTACGGTCATTTAAAGTTAAAGGCAAGAACAGTAGTTTCTGAGAGTTTCAGATTTTTATCTGGCAGTCAACACGTTCAATATATAACCTGAATAATGCAATTTTTGAAAATTACAAAACTTCAAGCAAAGTTTTTTCTGCAAAGAGTGAGCTGCTCAGGTTGACTTGTGGCTGTATTTTATATATGTCTAAGCAGTTAAGACGCTAGAGTCGATTGAAATTCACGGAAAATGATTAAAAAACACTCATTTGAAGCACGCTGCCGTTAATCAGAGGTATTGACCGAGCAAATTATTGATGCTTACACTTAAACTACTATCTTTCCCCCTCAGAATTTCGATTTAATAATGTAGTTATCTTCAAAAAGAAAACTTTCACAGGAAAAGTCGATAAGGCTTAAAAATAAATTTTTAAAGTCTTTATTTAAATACGTGGAAAAGAGTGGTTATAAAAATCAAACTCATGTAAATTTTCTTCTTTGGGACCCTAAGGAATAGTTCCTTAAAATTACACCAAAATCTAAAATGGATCGGCAACATTTTTTTTATTTTTAGACGATTTTGTATGGAATGACTCATTTGGGATCTGTATCATTTTATATTACAAAAAATTTATTGCTTGGCAACCGTGTAATACTTTTTTAAAAATATTCTAGGGTTTCCCTAAGAATTCTAAAACTAAGATAAAATACAATGTCCCATTTAACAAATAAATACTTTTACTTTCCAAGCAAAAGCGTAACACACTGTACATCCAAAAATATTTTTATATTATATGTTTTTCAAATTCATATACTTTTATTAAAGACTTGTGTCTATGCCACAAATTAAAATATCGAACAGTTAGTTACATCATTTAATTATAACCTGTCAAATTTACAAACATAATATCAAAACCAAATTCATAATGCACTAATTTAAGAACGTTTTCAGATGCCTACGGGGTTATAAAGACAATTCACTTTATAGCGGTTTGTCTACATTTATCGAAGCGTACATCTTCAAATGACGTTACTAAACGTCATGGGCATGGGGGAAAGATCTATCATGACGTTAATAAACTTCATGGACAGCGAAAGTGTTAAGTAGCACTCTCTATAGACTCCCTATGATCGAGCCTATCATTTTAATGGCACATTTGGTCGGATCTCGTGATTCTTTTGTTATTTAAAAGGCATAAATACCCAATGTCACGACAATTAAATAAAAACATTTACATTGAAAATTAAACTATATTACTTTTAAAATTGAAACATTATATTCTTAAAAAATAATCTGATCGGGATCAGGAACTCTGATCGGGATCAGGAACACATCTAGCTATAACTGGACATGGTGCTTTCTTACAAAGCGTTTGCTCTGCAATACATTTGAATCCTTTTGAGCATTTTGTAAATATGCATGGATTGTCACATTCGCAAGTACGACAACCATCTTCACCATATTTGTAGAATTGGCAGTTATCTAGGCATTTTCTTTTTGGACAATCAACACATATAGGTTTAGGCGGAAAACTTTCCAACACTTTGCAAGTTTGGTCTTCTTCGCATTGGTGAGTTTCACATGGATCATCGGCGCATTGGCAAGTGTTGCAGCCATTTTCATCTTGTTTGAAAACTGTACAAGGATTAGAGCATCGCACCAGTGGGCAGTTGTAAACACATGTTGCAATTGGTGGACAAGGTGCTCGGATACACTGCACTTCTTGTACTTTACAAATTTCTTCCTCTTCACATGTGATATTCGTACATGGATCCACATCACATTCGCATGTCTCACAACCATTTTTATCGTATTTGTAGAATCCACTTTCGCATGGTAAGCAATCTTTTAGGGTACACTCAGTTGCTAAAAAAATTAATTTCCGTATTATAGCGAGGGCACTTTTTTGGTAAAAAAATAATAGAATATAATTTGTATACGAATAAAGTTAAAAAAAATATGATGATCCTTCATGATTCCTCTGTTGTAGATGATAATAATAACTTTTAGGAAACTCCTCTTCTTGACATTATTTTTTAAACGATCAATGGTATGTACAGAGTGTCCTTATATTCGAACGACAACGTTTGATAGGTAATAACTTTTTAAAATTGATGAGAAATGAAATAAAACATGTTAAACCTACTTTTCAAAATAATTAAAAAAAACCTCTTTACTGTAAATGATTTCCGGTCACATTTAATCAAAATTACAACGTTTACGCCTTAGTATTTTTGAAAATTATGAGAATTCAACACCCTGAATCTTAATAACCAGTCAAAGAATTTGTTTGAAATCAAAAATCAAACTTTCTCATAAATCAAAAACACCTTTAAATGTTTTTTTTTTAATTTGGTGAAAATATGCTTTTTAAGAAAATATTTTGACAGGGTTAAAGGCAACTTTTTATCCCTACTTTTTATGTCACTGGAACAAACCAGTACAATCGCACATTGTACCGAAGTTAAAGATTAATAATGTAAATGGTACTATAAAAGGAGCAATTAGAAATGTATTTTATGATATGAAAGCAAGAGGATAATAAATAATACATCATCTAACATCCATAGTTATAGGATTTGATGTGTGCCGTATTAATAGAAATTCAATTTCTGTTGATATGACATGCAGATTATAAAATCGCCATGCATTACCGTCTCGATGATGGTGGGTGAGGTTTTCCGGGTTTGCTCACTTATAAGTCAAATGGCATCATCAATCATCTTTAAGTCGCCCCGGAGCGCCACGTCAAATAATAATAATAGCCGTCCCTTTCCCCGCACAAGCTCAGCTTTTGGGGTTAAAATTCACTCGTAAGGAGGTGAATTAGGGAGAGTATTAATATTATTATTATGTGTAAAAAATTCATCGAAACGTTCCTGGGGCTCCGACACACCCAGTACATTACGCGAAAGGCCTGGTCGCTGAGAAGATCACTCCTTACATCCGCTCGGTCAGTGATCTTCGGCCAAATTCGATTGCCTCAAAAGACGAAAATATGAGGACTACCGCTTTCTGCATCTTCACCACTAGTTGTTTTGATGAGTCTCCTTGAGTGTCCTTGATTCCCCCTAAAACACCTACAATTAGGGCTACCATTTTTACACTATATTCTGGATGCATTCTTTGCAACTCGCCAATCAGTGGAATGTATTTGGCACGCTTCTCCCTCTCCTTAATATGAATGTTGGTTTCAGCTGGTGCAGAAAACTCAATGACAAACATTGAATGACTCTGCTTGTCCAACAGCACCAAATCGGGCTTGTTAGCTTGGAGTCTGGTTGTTGTGGGAAAAGCGTAATTCCAATAAATACGGCAACTGTTATTTTCCACTACCGCTTCAATTTCGTCTGGGGCGTATGGCAGAACTGGGTCTCATCTATACTGTAGTGATATCTCAGATGATAGTAGAGAACTCGCAATGCGGCGTTGTGCCTGTAGGTGTACCCAGACACAGCTTGCACCGAGCAAGCGGATAAAAGATGCATTAATATCTCCGGGTATTGTTGGCATGTTCTGCATCTAACATCCGCCACATGCGTAAATCAAGCGCAGTATACGAGAGTATTAATTACACCATCCTGACAAGCTAACAAGAATCCTTCTGTCTCAGACTTCAGGTCAGCTGATCGAAGAAAGGAGAAAGTTAATTCCCGATATAGATTAAGATCTTCTATGTTCCTGTCAAAAACATTGTGTTGGGGTTTGCTGACATGATCTTCTAAGAGCAGCTGCTGTTCTGCTGCCCTAACTAGACGTTTTACTTGAGCGGGTTCTAATCTTGTGAGAGATTGGTTGTCATCTATTTCAAATCTGAGACCTAGTTGTTCGTCCGCAGCTTTACTTGCAACCTTAAAAAGAAAAGCCCCGATACCAATTGTTTCATGGTCTCGAACCAGCTGCAGTAGTGGGTACGCACTATTGGCTACCTTGCAAGCCAAACTCACAGTTAATCTATCATGCAACCTCTCCAGACTCAGAAGACTTTTTAAACCAGCGTGTTTTACTTTCCATTTCAAAAACAGAATAAATATTAAAAATATAAAATTATTCAATAACTAATGCCTTGAGAAAAAACAGTTCAAATGAAAGTATATTATTATTAAAATCAAAACATAATTTCTTAAAAATTTGATCAAACTCATCTACCTCTAACTGGACAATATAATAAAAATAATTAATCTATAGCAAACTGAGTAAAGAGGAATCAGTTTCTAACCTCATTTTGAGTAAATACATTCAACTAAATATTTGACAATTGCATTAGGCTCAAAACAAAGTCCTGGTTTAAGAACAAGTTCTAAAGCCATTATTGATACAATGATTTCAATCATAGGGTGAAGCAATAATTACAATTGCCTAAAAATAGTTCAAAACCGAGTTCTCAGGTAGATACCTGAGAACACTAAGTTGAATTATTTCCAGAAGAAATTAAGAAAATTACCAAGATATATGTGGAGAGACTTCAACATTGAAGTACCCCAATTTTTAGACAATCCTAGTGCGTAGACTTAAAAGAGTCAAATCTTTTAAGCTTATTTAAGTGTAGTGATGGTGATAAAGCAGTTAGTGCAATGAGTCACAATATCAAAGAGTGCAGAATATGTTAATAATTTGTTTTCAACCTTTTAACCCACAAAACATTGTCCTTTAATTTTTCCTTCTACTTAAGAACAGGTTTAGGAGTGTCAGGTTGAAAAACAGATTATTAACCACTAATGGTTTAGTGATCTAAAAGATGATTTCAGAACCATTCAACAATATTGTTGTACTTACTATTATTATCTTTGGGTGGACAACATAAGTTTCGAGGCTCACTACCCAAACTCGATTGACATTCATAAGGACTGGGACATTCTGGATCGCCTTCTCTTCCGCAATAAATTGGTTGACTTGCATAGCCTATTACAGCTGGCTCTCCGTATTCGCATAATTTTTTTTCGCATACCGCTATTGGTGGACAAGGACCTACTATGCAGAAAACTGTACGAAGTTTACAAATCTCGTCTTTCTCGCATGTTACATTCAGACAAGGGTCGACTAGATTTGATAAAACAAATATCCTCATTAAATATTATTAAAATTGATTAAGGTATATTCAAACGGATAAATATTGATGTAAATTCACAAAAATGTTCATATATCATTATTAAGTGAACAGGAAAAGCGTGTATTAATAAAAAAGTTAAAGGCAGCGGAAAAGAGGTTCATAAATATATAGGAAAAGCATAAAGGTGACAAGCACTATAAGACAAGAAAGACAAGAAAAAATGTATTATGAAGATGAAATAGACAATAAAAAATATGATAGTAAACAAATTGTTGGACATGAAACAAGAAAATTACAAGTCAAAACCAATTTTATAAAATTTCCTAGCAATACAGCGATCTTTATATCTAGCATAATGGAAATAGAAGATTTTCCGAAAGCAATATGGATTTCCCCGACAGTAGAGTATGTAAATAAACGCTCTGCTTGCAGCGGTACAAAATATTTTAAACACTATTTTTTCGTTGAAGATAAAATACCATATTAAATCTTTGGGGAGGACTACTCCCGATTTAAAACTTACTCGGGTAGACCCAAGGTTCATATATAAGACGATTTTCAAGGCAAGTGTGTATTTAAAACAAATGAATTTGCTTGCGTTTTAGAGAATCGCTCGTACTTGTACCACAGTCTGAAGGTTCCAGGTTCGATCCCTGGTCGATGCACTCATTTTTTTCTTTCTTTTATTTTCAGCTTTTCCAATTTATCTTTGGTTTGTTTTCATTTTGGGGATATGGGAGTGCATTTTTCATAATTTCATAGGAAGAATTAGGGATTATTCATTTTCATATTTCAAAGCTTTTTATATTTTGCAGATATCCGACTGATGATTGATCGTTATTGTAAAAAAAAAATCAGAAGTGGGATATTGAGATGAGTTTTAAAAAACCTGACTTCCGATTATGATGCCTCCATTTCTATATTGTCACTTCTACAATTTAATGCGGCGTTGCCAGCTCAGTAAATCTTGGAGCTGGGGAAATGATACATTTTGTGTTTCGTTTTTGGTTATTTTTTAACTAATTCGCCGCTTTACTTTTGTGTTAATAATAATTAAGATGTCTTTTAAATAATTTGTCAATTCTTAGGTATACTGCCAGAACGTGATATCTTTATTTGAGTTTAATAATAACGATTTTAAAACTACCATAAAAGTTGAAATTTCAATATAAGTAAGATACTTTTTTTTATTTTGGTGTCATCGACATCGACTACTAAGGCCATTAGCCTCGTGTTCTGTGTAGGCTTTGTTACTGTTTCCCAGCGCCACTTTAGGAACAGCACTGTTAATTAAAACCCAACAGTGAATGGTCGAGTTGGGAATCCTACCAAGGCATCAAAATTAATTTTAAATACTTAAATTAAATAAAATCCCGGCCAACGGTGGGATTCAAATCTGGGAGCTTTGGATCCACAGGCAGAGACTCTCAAAATCATAATTATTTTTAAATATTTATAACCTTATAAGTCTTTTTTGGATTATTTCTTTATTTATTTGATCTAAACATAACTTGATGTGCCTAAGTCATATTAAGAAATAAATTTCTATTTTATTCTATGTATAATGGATGATGACATCAGTCTAACATCTGAAATATAATTACTAAGGCATCCTACGCATAGAGCCTCAGTATGTCGATGAAAAAATCTTCTTATACTCACTTTTTAACACCTTTCTACACTTTTTTGATCACTCGACGTAAGAAAACAAAAAAATTATTTGGTCGTCTGTGCGTATGTATGCAAGTGCGCCAACCCGATAATTGTAAAACGAAAATTCCTGTCAACGTACGGTTTGGAATACTTATATATTATAATTTCTTCAAGACGAGAATCCTATTGATTTTTAGAATTTTTTTGTTTAAATTCAATACTTTAAATTATATTAGTGGTTTTAAAATGCAATGCATTTCTGATGGAGCTTATTTTATTTATAAATTTTCTATATTTTTTGAATGTCTCTTAGCGATTTAATTTGAGTGGTTATTTATTATCAGTGAAAATATTAATGGTTTTAAGCTGAAATAAAGGTGGATTTTCCGCGAATAATAATCATAATTTTCGCACGAATTTTAACGAATTCCAGATTGGAGCTCATATCTGAATTTGATATTAGCCTCAAAACGGTAAAGGGCTCATACATAAATAAGTTTTACATGGGCAAGCTTAAATGGTAAAGCTGGCAAATGTTTTTACAAAGACGAATTTAAGGTAAAGTGTCAAGTATTTTTACATAGCAGTGACGTACTGAGCAAAGGGATCAAATATTTTTAGTTACCTGCACATCTGCATTTTTAGATGTTCAGGTTAATTAAGGAGCACATGGACTAACATGGGTAGGTTTAAGGAGTAAAATGTCCAAATATTTTTACATAAATTGTTAAAAAAATTTGCAAACCCTAATCAAAATGCGATGGTTCTTAAAAAGCAGGGTTAGCAATGTGAAAATCCTTATCTGGTTTAGCCTAAGTAACGCCAATGCTTGATATACCTAAAAATTCAACTATTCAATACTTTTTATAGTATTTCAGTCTAAATCAAATCGTTTTGAATTTATTTTATGTTTGACCATGGTGGGGCTTCAGTTTTGATAATTTAGAGTCTTTAGAATATAAATTTTTATTTTCTCTGATTTATGCTTCCATAATCAAATTTTGGATAATTATTGATTGAAATTGAGTTGTTTTCAACATTTTAACGCCAAAAACTTGAATTTTTGGGGAGTTTACCTCGACAATCACCTCAAATGCACCAAATTTAAAAAAGGGTGATTTACCACTAATCGTTTAGTAATCTGCTGGTCTCAGAACCATTTAACAATATTATTGTACTTACTATCTTTTGGTGGACAACATATTTTTTGATGATCACCAGCCAAACTCAATTTACATTTATATGGGTTGGGACATCCTAAATCTCCTTTTTTTCCACAAGTAATCGGCTGACCTGTATACTCTATAAGAGCTGGATCTCCGTATTTACATAATTTTTTTTCGCATACCGCTATGGGTGGACAGGGGGCTTTGATGCACCAAACTTGACGTACTTTGCAAACCTCGTCTTTCTCGCATTTTACATTCCAACAAGGGTCGACTGGATGCGGTAAAACTATGCGTACAAATATTTGTATTAGATAATTATTATTAAAATTGATTTAGGTATATCCAGGTCCTGTGTATATCTTGTATGCCCTTAGTGAGTGTAGAGGTTTTAAAGGATTGTTTTGTGTATTTAACCTAATTATATCCCTAAATTAATTACAAAATGGTAAAGCAGACGCCACAGAGAAGATAGTAAAAAGAATAATGAAAAATCATTTGGGTAATATACTCAATAAAATAGAGAGTCCAGAGTAAAGGGGCTATAGGAGTTCTAGCACAATTCCGGATCAGTTCCGGATCAGTTCTGGTTATGTTAGGTCAGGTTGGCAATAGTTGGCTGGTGACGTCATGACACGTGACGTCAAGACGAGTGACCTTGATATGGACAAAAATTGCCAGAATGAACCTTAGCGATTTCCCATGTTAATTTACATAAGGTTTGTGCTAGAACTCCTATAGCCCCTTTATTGTCCAGTTAAAAGATAATTTTCTAGAAGTATCTAAACTGGAATACCTTGTTCAATAAATAACTTATTCCCAAAAGTTGTGAGTAAGATACTAGAATCCATTAAACTAAATAAACGAAAAGCTTAATACCATTATGACAAGAAAAGCAAGGATTTACCAGAATTAAAAATTTGGCAACCTATTGTAGCACAGTTGAATCCAGGAACATCACAAGTTTGGTCAAAAAGGTATATTAAAGGTGAATTTCTCCTTCAGACCTGTCATTCGCTCTCGCAGCTGTTTCGAACTCTTTCAGGGAATTAATCCATGACATCTATCCATCAAAAATTGGGGTTTTAACAAAGTTTCCTTCCAATTTCAGATTTATTTCACCGTTCTTGGCCTGTTCTGTGTTCTCTAATTCTTCTATCTTCTTTTCCATCTCTTTTATTTTCTCCTCAATGGAAGACACAATTTTTTCCTCAACAAATTTCATTTCTTATAGAAGATATATCAGAGACTTTAATTTCCTTAGAAGACATTTTTTCTTCTAAGAAAAAAACTTTATTAAGTTAGAAATGTCAGTTTTTAAAGAAGAATTGGTTATGAAGAGAATAAGAATTCAAGTAACCAACTTTATGGTATACTGGTGAAATGTGTAGCATTTGTTAATTCCATTAGAGACTGGAATTGAGAACCTATCTATTTCTTGCTGAGGAGTCCTAATAAGGACGAAACCGGTCCAAGAATGATGTTCTCCTTGGTGAGCAAAATCAAAGTAAAGAGTGTTGAAAATTAATTTCTATCTCTGCTGTCTTTCCTTCGGATGTAATTCAATGCCTGTTGCGGTATTAGCCAAAGGAGTAGTTGTTTTTTGAAGGGGAGACGATCGTTGTATTTCGTGTGATATTGGCTTTGAGCTAAATTCATTTTATTTCATTTACGTCTATCCACATTTGAGTTTTGATTTATTTTCGTCTCAATTAAAGGAAAGGCTGAATGGTTGTAGTTAAGTAACCAAAGGAAGCTAACGACTTAGAGGAGATAAGAGCAATTCTATGACCAAAAGAAGAGAAAAAACCTATAAAATTACTGATTTGTTGTAGTAAGGGTACACATCCTGGTCTATTTAGACAAATGGCGTTAGGGCAACGAATTATGTCACTTTGACATATTGGTCCTTCTGGACATTCAATATCATCTCGTATAATTCAGGTTGGAAATGCCTTGTATCTGCAATAGAAATTTAACAGATGTCCAAGTAATGTTTGGCTATTATCATAAATAAATATCAGAAGTGGGGCAATTGGATGAGTTCAAAAACAACTGTAACTTATATTGTCATTTCTGAAGCAAATTTGGAATGCTAATAATAACCTAGAGAGGCTAGAAACAAAAGACACAGTCACAAATTAAAATATGAAATCAAAGATAGAAAAGTAAAGTAGGTGTCATTGTTAAAGTCATTCCAATCCACCTACTTGTCCAGGAAATTAGACAATTAGACTGGGGGGACATACTGCATAGGTGACAGGAAGAATGGGAGGAAAGTAGTATATATTTATGGACTAAACGATTGATTCCTGATATCAGACCACGGATTCGGAACAAACACATTAACACGAACTACTATATGATCCAGTTTCTATATAAGCATAGATTTTCTAGAAGTTTCACATGTGGTGTAGGGAAAACTTAATTCCACGCTGATAGGGCGAGCATGAATAATGTACTGGAAAGGAACTAATGTATAGTGAATGTCATGCTACTCTGCTTAAAAAAAGACAAAAATATATCATTAGGAACATCATTACGTATATAATAAAACTCATGGAGACAGAAGAACATATTTAGTAACAGCAATGAAACGAAAGACCACTGCACAGGTAGTTGTAACATTCTTCAAAATAGTTCCTCTTGTGCATGTTAGGAATAAGGGTGAAAGGGTTTTGGTGGGTAGGCTAGATAGCCAGAGGTATTATAAGGATAGTAACTATCACTCTAAATACAGCTGGAAAGATAGAGTCTCACACATAATTGTCTTGGTGGAAAACATGAGTTTTTAACCGTTTACACCTCCAAAAAACAGGATCTAAAATAGAAAAGTAAAGTGCATAAACAATGAAAGAGAAAGCTGGATAGATTAATGGAGTTAGGTAATTAAAAGAGGATGAAGACGAACCTAGCGACTGAAATATGATAGATGCGAAAAACACTATGATAACTAAGAGATAAATAGAAACTATAAAATAACTTACTTGCTTTAATGGGTACACATCCTGGTTTCTCTGGACAAGGGGCCTTAATGCAACGAATTACATTTTTTTGACATTCTTGTCCTTCTGGACATTCAAACCCGTCACAAGGATCGCATCCTAATTGAGATAAATATATTTCATTAAAAAAAATACCGTCAATTCTCATATAAAGCATTTCAGACTCATTTAAAATATCTGGTGATCTTTTAAATGTAAAATAGAATAAATTATGCATCCAAAAAAAGGTTAAAACGTTTATTCCAGTTATTCTTACATAACAAGCATAAATCAACACTTAAAATATCCCATCTACCTATTTAGGTTTCTGTTTCTCTTTTGAAACAACTTCGAGGTAACCTTGAACGTTGCAGACATATATGAAATCCCCGTGAATATAAGTAGGTAAGTTAAAAATCCGCTACTATGTAATATTAACCACGATTTATAACGTCATATGTTATTCTAACGATAGTGAATCACTGTATGTGAACTCAATAATGACTTTTGGTCAGTCCGGGTAAAGAGAGAAAGTTGTAATTTATTGTTATATGGTATCGATTTCAGTATGTATGATATCGATGGAGTTCGCTATGATGAAAGTAGTTTTAATTGCAATAATAACGGACCTGGACGTTACAATACTGTTTTCACCAAATTTTAATCCACCCAGTCTGAATCTGTTCTATGAGTTACATGATTTAATTGCAAAACCCGTTGTTTTCACTAAAAATATAGAAAAAATAGCTAAAGTTATTAGACAAAAATGTATACATAACATCGCGGATCATTATTTGTGAATTTATCATCAATTTTAAAAAGTGTTTTGTATACCATTAAGTTCATTTATAATATTCTACGTGCTCCTGTTTTTTATTGCTAGATAAACTTATGTTATTCTAATAAAAATTGCTAAAAGAACAATTTATCGTATTTTTAAAAATGGTAAAAGATAGTTCTTTCGAAAGTAAAATCGAAAATATAAAAGTCATAAAAAACTGGAGCAGTTATTACAATATACGTCAGAAAAAATATTTATATGAAGGAAAAAGCGAAGAAGAAAAAGAAAGAAGAAAAAAAGAAGAAAAAGAAACAAGAAGAAGAAACAAGAAGAAGTGGGAGGAGAAGAAGATGAAGAAGAAGAAGTAGAAGAAGACAATAAGAAAGATAAACAATCAATATTGGAACTAAATAAAATGAAAATAGTACCATTTAAATCATTTTGTTTCCTGAAATGTATATATTTCCTATAGGATAAGTCATTTTTAGCATTCCAAATAATTTAAGACACAAAATAGCTATAACAAAAGGTACTTATTGATCCATAACGCAAAAATCATTTGAATCCGAATCCATCTAAGCCAGTCAATCAAAATATGTATGATTGTTTTTGTATAACTTTTCCTTGACCAGTTATTTGTTTTTTTGCATCAATCGACCCTCGACCATTTAGCTAAATTATAAAATATCAACCAGATTCTAAACCAAAATCACCTTTCTCTGATTTAAGATCGATAAGAATTATTAGATGTATTTAAAAGTTATTTATTAGAAAACTTAGTGCTAAAACCTTTCGACGAGTTATGTGCAGCATCTGAAATATCACGATTTTACCAGACATCCTTGAATTTATCACGTTTCAGTTTTAAAGGAAGAACTAAGAAGATTCATCAAGAGAACGTATCGTTTAAGGGTACTTATAGCATTTTCAATAATCAGTGGAATAGTGTCGTTTCTATTTATTACAGGCGATTTCATTGAAACAAAATATTCATGCAAAAAGAATAACAAAAATACAAAATCGGTACCACAGATAATTTAACGTACTAAATAGTTTCTGCCAACCAAGTCATCCTCAGGCATATAATAATATTTATTAAGTACACAAGGATCTCCAACTTCAATCTATTTGTTATTTGATTTTCCCACATGGTATTTCTTGCAACTACCTTGTCCTAGTTGGTGTTCTGTTTAAATTTAATCATTTTATGGAGATGCAGACGTTTCAGTATTGTATGCACTTATCATTCATTATTTAGACCTGATGGAGGATTGATTTTGCGTCAATGTCTAACCAAAATATTTATTTCCAAAATAACATTCAATTATCATTACAGTATGCTAATTTATCGGTCAGTGTCAAGTAAAATGTCATGGGCGGATCCAGGGAAAGGAGGGGAAGGCAGGGTTAGAATTCTTATGACCCTTTTATTAAGGGGCATCATACGTAAAGCATTTCGTGGGGGGCAGGGGACTATGGTTCCCCAAAGGTTAAAATTCTTACAATGCTTTTTTACTTATTTTATTTAAGGTGATCATACCTTCAGAATTTCGCTCTATTGTGCAGCATTTTCAATGTCTGTGCAATGTCCAGCAAATTTAATATGTAATACATAATTTAAACGTAATAAATGAGACTCAAAAATTGAAAAAAAAATTCTACATGATTTGTTTATCTTTGGATTGAGGAGCAAAGAAAAGATCGTCACCTCTCGCAGTACTGTATTGGCTCAAAAGAAATATGGCAACCCTACTTTTATAAAAAAAAAAAATCTTAAAAGGTAATTATTAACATGCCACCCTCCCACCCTCCCGTACTCTCTCATAATGATTTAATAACTACATGGATGATACCATGAATATTTGCAATTCTATTTTTGTAAATAAAATTAATCTGGTAGTTTTTGTCGTTGGATTGAATAATAGGAAAATGACACTTCTCCCACTGTCGAAGATGTCAAAGAGCGCTCCAAAACTTTGGCAAATTTAAAGATTAAGGCGCTTATTTTGTCAAAATCAGATTAGATATAATTGTAATAATAACGGCCATACAGATGCCTACTTAAACATTTTTCTTAAATACACATCAGAAGTCGCTTAGCTTGAATAACCAATAAACTACTTTCAATACCTCCCATTTGAGTTATCCTCCTACGAGGGCCAACAATACAAGTTGCAGTATATACAAGCCAGAGGTGTCAAAGCTGTAACAGACTTAATCCAAAGCCATTTGACTTGCGATTTTATAAATTCAAAAACTGTGTCGCTAGTATACCTTAGGGTCGAATGACTTAGTTATTCCAAGCTAACGTGTAACAGTAAACCTCACAATCACTTTACTTACTCAAAAGGTTTTTTGAGTCTTCTTGTCATATTAGTGATAGTCTGGTCGTCTGATCAACAGTAAAGATCTCTGTGGAGTTCCTTGTTAATAATGCACTGACAATAATCATCAATACTTTGTTCTGGAATCTCTGGGTTATTAGGATATGATTATTGTCGGCAAAACCCAAGACCTTATGACATAAGTCCAAGCTGGTTGATTTATACAAAATAAGTTTGTAATACATTTAATATATAGATTGGATAGAATGCCTACCAACCTGAATTTTATATCTAGCTATTGTCTTTTCCTTTTAACATGAACCATCCAGTAAAGTCTTGCATCTAATATAATACCTAGATATTTTGCATATTTGCATATTTTGACAGTAAAATTAATATTAAAGGTGGAAAAATAAAAGAAAACAGGTCCTTTATATCTCACAAAGAAATTTGTATTTAAACGGCGGCCGGTTTCGACATTTGTTTACTTCATCATCAGGCACACCATAGTCTCTTATCCACTAGGGATAAAACTACTAGATTGCAATCTTAAAGGAATAGAGACGAACTCAACAATAATTATTTTTTTAAAGAAGCATTTGTATTTGTCAAGGTTTAAAAACATATTAAAATTAAAACGTCACATGTTAAAATAATAATACTAAAAATATTAATGAGCCTACATTACAAAGTCAAAAAACTGCCAAAGTTGTTAATGTTTACAAAAGCAAACTGGAGACTGGCTGCCCTAAGTTTGAAAATTAATATTAACCTATTTGGTTTCATTTAATTTAATATGCCAACTTTTGGTCTAGTTGTTCATGATCTCTGTCTACTGCTAGGATGGCAGTACCCTCTGAAATTAAAGTTATTGTGTCTTTTTCTAGTTAAATCATATCAAAAGTGAATAGGATAAGTGAGTCCTAGGACTCTTCCATGTAGTACTTCTTCTGCTTTGATTTCTTTCAATTTAGAGTAGGCTTCAGCTTAACTGTTTGTGTTTCAAGCTGTCATGCTATATGTACTTTTTCAAAAGCCTGCGCAACATCTTCTATCTACATGAATTAGGGCGTGGTTCAAAGCCCACTCGTACTGAAACTCTAGGTTTATTGTACCCCTCACAGTTTCTACCCCATCAGATTAATTTTCTTGATGAATTCAAGAATATGTCTGATGGGCGCTTTCACGATTTCTTCAGGTTCCAGATATTGTGCCCCGAAATACCATTCCCGTTTCCATTTAAGGTTCCGAAAGTGGCATAGTATGTGAATAGGAGTTTTGTCCTCATCTTTACATATTCTACATAGAGAGTCATCAGATATCTCCAAGAGATTAAGGTGTCTTCTAAGGCCGCAGTGTCCCATATGGCCTTAAGTTCACTTCTGCTAAGATTTAGCAGTTGATTTTGTCTGCTCGAGGACGGCCCCTCTATAAATCAGGCATTTATTGCTGTTACATCAGCCTGGAAGACTGTTGTCAGTGACCCCAGGTTCAGACTAATGGTCTTCCCTGAGTTCACATGGTAGATCCCAGCTCCTGTGCTGTTTTTCATTTTCGAACCGTCTGTATACCAGATGGATTCGTTTTGTTTTTCCTTATTTTCCCGGATTTTGGCCCTTTTGCGCAACTTATTAGAAGATGGCTAAGCTCACTTGTTTATTTTTTAACGCTTGATAATAACGCTTAACATTTGATATTCTACAAACCTGATCTATACTTGAATAGTTTGCTCTAAAGCCAATCTGATAATTTGAAGTTAGTTTCCCTTCTTCAATGATAGGTTTCAGCTTTTTCATGAGTATTTCTTCAAATAAATCCGATAGTATAGGAAATAGAGATATTGGACTATATGTCGAAACTTTGTTTGGAGATTTTCCTGGTAGAGGGATTATAATGACTTCATCTTCTTTAAACAATCTACATACTTTAATTTGACTGAGGTATTAAACAGGTGTGTAAATTTTATTATGGCTTTCCCCGGAAGGTGTTTTAAAACTTTTCCTGTAACTAAATCA